TGGAAGAGCCCGCCCGGCCCGCCTGCCCGATTCCCGGCAGGGCCGCCTCACCGCCTGCGCCTCCTCCGGTCCCGGCGCCGCCCCGACCGGACCAGGGGGCGCGCCGTCTGCCGCCAGGGCCGCAGCCCGCCGCGAGCCCGTCTGCCGAGGCCCAGGCTGGCCGCCGGGAGGTGATACCTCGACTGCGCGGCTTCCCGGCCTGTCGCGGCCTTCTCCCACGGCCGCAGCACCGCTGGTGGAGGGAGTCACGGGCCCCGCGCCCGGACTCAACCGCCTTGGAGGCCTCTTAGCCCGCGCCGGGTGACCGCCGCCGCCATCAGCCGCCGCCAGAAGGGGTCCCAGGTGAATCTTCGCCCAGCCTGGGCCCTGTTGCCGCGCCGCCGCCCGAATCCCATCCAGGAGCCGCTCCACCTCTTCCATGGCCCTGCAGAGGAGACAAAAGAAAACCCTACCTAGCAGGTCAGTGAGTACCAGAGGCAACCACAAACGCAGCTAGGCAGAAATTAATGTGCACATTTTAAAATGGCTGCCTATTAAATAGCCAGCCCCCATCCCATAATCCCACAGACCTACTGGTCCCTCCTATGCCCGCCTCCTAACTCCTGTCAAGGCCCTTTTCCGCTAAGCTGCGCTCTGGCTACATGGGGCTACAGGACGAAGAAGAGAGTTAAATGTGTAAAATAGTCGTTTGGGTTTGCGGGATGAATGTGTTGAATATATGTGTTGAATGTGATGAATAGTATGAATGTGTTGTAAAGATTGGTTACTTTTATACAAAGATATTTTTTATTTGTTTGATAATATGGATTTGAGGCCCAGTCTAGGGTTTCATATTTTTTATATTTAACTATAATCATTTAGGAATTATTTGGAAAGTTATTATCTTAGTTGATTTTTAAAACCTCTGACTTTTTTTATTTAAGAAATAAAACTATCGACAGATTTAGTTACGGTCTTTCACCAGACCATCTCATGTATTTTAATGGTTTCCTTTTAGTTGTGCCACTGCTGCAAAAACCAACTGTCTATAAATCGGTTTATGAAATAACTAGGTCCAGGCACTCAGGATTGCTGCAGGAAGGCCGGCTTATTGAAACAAAAACTGCAACGTTTCGGCCAACAGAGGCCTTTATCGATCAGTTTAAACCTATATTATATTTATCTAACCAAGAAACAGTAAGTTTAAATGCTCGAAGACCGATAAAAGCTATTTTATTGCACAGAGCTGTATGGAGGTTAACAGCCAATCAGACACACTGAGCCGATACTTTGAATTCTCTGACGGTGTGTGCATCTACCGGGATACTGGAAATAATTAATTCCATTTTATCACGGAAATCTACTTTCTGTTAAAGAATGTAGTGCAAACAAACAAGTTTAAATTAGTATTCAAAAATAAATATATAGAAATATTTCACATGCAATAAAAAATATTGATATATAATATTTAATATAAATTTCAGGATAGAACTAGTTTCATACACACGTGTATTCATATATTTATAGTTGGCAGCCGGTCTCGTGATTGATTTTATTGCATGCGTGGAACATAATCCATTGGAATGCCGAGTCCTGTAATTTTACATGTTATTTTATTTTTACATCTGTCTTTGTCTGCTTACACACCAGCTGTTTCCAGGGCACAATTTGCCTTAACATGAGACCAGCACATGCAAAAAAAAAAAAAAAAAACAACACAGTTCAAAGAACCATCTTCCAGAGGGGAGCACTTAGCAGATATGAATTATATTTTGTGATTTCTTCATAGTATTCCCAGTTATGGAGCAAGTGTAAATACACAAGAAACACATAAAGGACTCTCCACGTAGTAGACCACCAACTATTGCACCAAAACAGACATCGGGTCATCCATACCTACAAACATTGCGAGGTACAAGAGTGGGATGGGTGGGTCTGA